TTGTTGTTGTTTTTGATAAGTCTTTCCACGCTTTGTACAGCCAAATGCATGAATGCACATACAGTATGTGGGTGCACAATGCATGACTTTTGGATTTATACTGTATATTCAAATAGGGCATAACATTGTGAGCATTAGGGAATGCCTATATAAAAACGGTGCTGACTCTTGTCAAAGGTTAAAAAAGGGTTTTGAAAGGGGAAACCAGCGCTTCTTCTGAGGTTCCTACTGTTGAGGGATAAGCATAACATATCTATACTTGGGTTTTGCCTTATTGAATGAAGGATGCCTGAAAATATAGAAGAAATGTTTACATATTTTCTTATTTATCAGAATAAAAACACATTAATATAAAAGTGCAGCTTGACCATTTACTGTAAGTGAAGTTACCTTGGTATTGTGAAAGCCACAAGTGCAGCTGCGACTTCCCTTTGTTAGGGTCATCTGTCCTCTTTTATGCAGAGTGCATTTTTCTATCTGCAGGCATAATAATAAGAAGTTGTTTTACAGAAATGAGAAGCATTAACTGAACAATTTTATAAAAGCAATGTGACAGATTCAATTCCAGCCATAAACTAGTCAAACTGACATTATTATAAGCAGTTAGTTAGCTGTTCTGTATCATGCAGGTGTCTTTTAGTAGGTTTCAAGAGTTATAAGCTCCAACATTACCTTAAGATAGAGGTAACATCAAGTGTACTAAGTGACATTAAAATGACAGTAAACATACAGTACAATGGCGTTAACAAATGAGCAAAACGTGTCGGTGTGTCTTCTGATATCACAGTTATATCTGAAACATTTTAAACGGTAGATTTTTGAAAAGCAAGTAGTAATATAGCAGTAATAGTTTCCTAACTGTGCATATGACAAATAAACACTGACTTAATAATAAGGTTATGCATTAATAAAGTGGCGGTTCACTCGAACACACACAGTAGTAGCTTCATGTTAGCGTGAACTTCACGTTCATGTAAAGTGCCACTTTCTCAGTGATGTTAAAGTTTGGAGACAGAAGGGTAATTGTTACTTACGGTTCTTGTGGTTCAGCAACTTCAAGTTTCCCGTAGCGACGGAAGAAACAAAACAGGAGGACCGTTGCTACGGTGAAAAATGGACAGCGTTTCATGATTGGCGGTAGAAAGATGGACTTTGCCATTTGATTGGCAACAGAAAGATGGACTCTGGCAGCTGATTGGCTTAGAAAGATGGACCAGGCTATGCATGATTGGTGGTAGAAAGATGGACTTAGCCATTTGATTGGCAACGGAAAGATGGACTCTGGCATGTGATAGGCCTTTGAAAGATGGACCTGGATATGTGGTTGGCTGAATTTATACAGACTCTCGGTTGTCAGGTAGAGCCACAGTCTGGTAAGCATTCTTGCTGTTCTTGTGGGACTTCTACTGTAACTGCAAAAAGACAATTTGCTCGATGGTCTCCTGCAGCTCCTCTTGTAAGGTCATTTCTGATTCCAGATCATCAGAGGCCGGCTCTGCTGTTATGACCTGTGTTTCTTGGGCTTTTTGGTTCTCTCCAGGACACATTTTTACAGGTTTGCTGACAGAGTGGCATCATCTTTTGAAAGGTAGCTGGTGCAAAAGGCAATTCATAAGACAGTCCATAATGCATATGGCAAAATCTGATTAGTCCCTTTTAGGTTAAGGTCAAAGTGTTTATTTGTCCTATGCACAGTTAGGAAACGTGTTTCCCTGTACAATGAAATTCTTACTTTGCTGTCCACATGAATGCCACAAAATACAAATGAAATATAAAGTAGTTAAATAAGTAACACAAAATCTAAGACACTTTAAGAAGCAAATGCAGCAATATAATAAAAATATAAGAGAATATAATAAGAGAAGGTATGCTGCATGGGAGCAGCTTTAAAGCACTCACCGCTATCCTCATGCGAGGGCACCTGATGATATGCACCGGCCAAGTCAATAGTGGGAAAAACATAAAAACATCAGCTCATTTTACGCTTGTGAGTAGCTCTTCCATATGAGGCAAAGAAAAAGAATTCACAATTACTGCTCCTTTACAGCAGGGGCCTATTTCAAGAAGGCGGTTTTGTCGAAACTCAGAGTTTGTTAACCCCGAAATGAGGGCAACTCGGAGTTTTCGGTTTCAGAAACGGAGGTAACTTAAACCCGTGAAGCGGGGTAAGTTAAACCCGTTTCACAAAGAGAGGTAATCTAAACTCAGAGTCAGTTACTACGGCAACTTACTCTGTGAACCTAACCTGGTCGGGAGCAGGTTTTATTCGGGAAACTCAGAGTTTCCTCCGGGTCTCCGCCCCTTTTTAAAGTGAAAGGTGTTTAATACCTCATTTAATCCTTCAGTACATTCATAGATTGCACACGTTTCCGTCACGCAGAGACCAAAATGGCGTGTCCATTCATAGAGGATCCTGTAGATGAGGACGCTGTAGTAATTCGCAGGGAATTGCATTTACGTCGGGAGAGGATATTGAGGCCACGAGTTGATTTTTTGTCATATCCACATGTATTTTTATTTGAGCAGTACCATTTTTCTGGAGAGTCCATAACATATATCAATAATCTTATCCACCCATACATCAGACACATCACCCATCGTGGCCGTGCTCTTACATCCGAGCAGATGCTTTGTGTTGCATTACGATTTGTTGCAAACGGCAGTTTTCTTTATAACATCGGGGATGCAGAGCACATTAGTAAGGCCACAGTACGTAGAATAGTTCGTAAAGTGTGCCTCACCCTCAAGCGCTTTCTGTGAATTTTTGTTGTGTTTCCTGGGCACAAACCCCTCAGAGCCATTAAAGAGGAGTTTCACAGGATTGCAGGTTAGTGGTATTGAATTCGTTTCAGTAAGGCTAATCTGACAAATGATGATCAGTTAATAACATCTTGATGTGACCTCTGGAAATAAACTAATAATTAGAATCCCCTTCAGGATTTCCAAATGTGGTTGGATGCATTGATGGAACACATATTCCCATCAATGCACCTTCTGAAAATGAAGGGGACTATGTCAACAGGAGGTCCATCCACAGTATTAATGTGCAGGTACACTGACTACTCTTTCTAATGGTCAAAGACTACATCACAATACTGTAACTGACATGTATCATTTTTTGCACCGCCAAGATCATATGTGATGCTGCACATATTATCACGAACGTGGAGGCCAAGTGGCCCGGCTCTGTTCATGACTCACGAATATATCGTGAGTCAACCCTAAGTAACAGGCTGCAATGTGGTAAGTACATGTATGCCCTATACACTTATTTCAATGCATGCACTACACACTTACAGGAGCACTGCTATGCAGCACTAAAGTGATGTGAACTTTCTTATAGGAGAGATTGATGGCTTTCTGCTGGGAGATAGGGGTTACCCATGCCAGCCCACACTGATGACCCCTTACCCAGAACCTGCAGCAGGCCCCCAGCAGCGCTTTAATGTGGCACACTGCAGAACAAGAGCCCGGGTGGAAATGACCATAGGCCTGTTGAAAGCACGTTTTCATTGCCTACGTCACCTCAGGGTAACACCTGAGAGGGCCTGTGACATTATTGTGCAGCCATCAAGTTTCTCCCCATGAATGCAGTTCCATTTTTAACCACAAATAATATTACAGGAGTAGATGATTCAAACTGTGAAACATTCACAGACAAGCGCCCAAGTTAATGGACATAAGCTTTTGAGTACATCCCTATCCTGGCTGTGGATTCAGTCAGTGCACTGTTGCTGAAGTGTCACTTGTAAACAGACTGCAGTAAGAGTGAGACTGATTCACCTGAATCAACTCCACTGGAATTGTTTGCAGATCTCAAGCATAAATATCCACCACAAATTATTTTATCTGAAGCAATTATTGCATAGGGATGGGACGATTAGATTTTCTTCCTTGATACAGTGTGAAGCATGATATATTGTGCACAATTTGATTCAATCATGATTCAACAGAGCTCCAGATTAACATTTCATATGGTTGGCTATCATGCCAATAAAGGGAGGGGGGACATTAGTTTCTAAGTGAGAGAGAATCTTAGAGGAGGGAAAACAGAGCAACTAAATTTATATCAGAGCCAGCTTAGGTCCGAGAGCTGCCAGAGCTCAGCAGTTTGTCCTCTCCTCCTCTCTCTGATGATGCAGGAAGTTGAACTCTGCTTTCCACAACTCAACACCTCCTGTATGAAGCCAAAGCGTCGTCTCTCTGACACTGTGTTTATTTACATTGTACTGTCGTCCGTCTCTCTGCTCACTGCAACTCTCAACCTGCTGGTCATCATCTCCATCTCCCACTTCAAGTACTTACATATTTAATCACTTTATGAAACTATGGCGGAACATACAGTAACTAAATGACTGTAAAAAAAACTTTTTTCTGAAAATGTTTTTGAATTTGTCATTTTTGTTTTTATCTCAATGATACTTGATACTACAAATAATAATAAGTGTGTTACTGTCTACCCTCTCCAGGCAGCTCCACACCCCCACCAACCTCCTCATCCTGTCTCTGGCTGTGTCAGATTTCTTTGTCAGCTTCCTCCTGTTGTTTCAAATTATGATCATAGATGGCTGCTGGTACCTCAGTGATATTATGTGTTTGTTTTATTGTGTTTTAGCTTACATTATTACCTCTTCCTCAATAGAAACCATGGTGCTCATATCCGTTGACCGGTACGTGGCCATTTGTCACCCTCTGCGTTACTCCACCAAAGTCACTCCTAAAAGAGTTAAAATCTGTGTTTCAGTGTGTTGGTTCTTTTCTCTCTCCTGCTTCACTCTGCTACTGAAAGATAACCTGAATCAACCAGGCAGGTATAATTCTTGTGTTGGGGAGTGTGTAATAGTCTTGAACATATTTGAACAATATACAGATCTTATTTTGACCTTTATCATTCCCATTACACTGATCATAGTTCTGTACATCAGAGTGTTTGTGGTGGCTGTGTCTCAGGCTCATGCCATGAGGTCTCACATTGCAGCTATCACACTTAAGCATTCAGTCAGTGTAACTGCTAAGAAATCTGAGCTGAAAGCAGCCAGGACTCTTGGTGTTGTTATAGTTGTGTTTATATTATGCATCTGCCCATATTTCTTTACCACACTTATGGGAAAGCTTACCTTGGTCAATACCTCATCTGAGGCATTTGTAATATGTCTATTGTATGTTAACTCCTGTCTAAACCCTATAATATATGCCCTGTTCTATCCCTGGTTTAGAAAATCTGTTAAACTTGTTGTTACACTTCAAATTCTGAAGCCTGGTTCCAGTCAGACCAACATACTGTAAAGAGTCAGTGTGGAGTGAATGAAATGAGGCCTTTACTTTGTTTAACAAGCTCAAAGAGATTTTCTTTATGCTGACTGGACCATTTAAATGACCTGCAAATCAGGCCATGCAAAATGCGCTACTGATATTTTTTAAAATAAATATTCTACTGAGAGATGCTGTGAAGTTACTAAAAAGGAGGCCAGTTGAGCAAATGCTTTCTTATTTTTTGTGCTGCTTTGTTCTTTGGACTTAAGAGCCAGAGAATGATTTGATCAGCTGGATCCTTGAATCATGAACATTATGCTTAGTCTTCCTTAATACCTTTCAGTTAACAGACAAAAAACATGTTTGTTGATCTTATAGTTTTATAAAATGCTTAACTTTGAGAAGGAAGGGGACTTTTTTCACAGTCAAACCATGAGAGCCTGTAGAGTTCTGTTATAAATTTTGAAATCCAAAAAGCACAGATTTAACAGAACTTTCCTGTGATAGAAAACAATATTCTGCATTTTTTTGTTTGCTGAAATATTGTTTGTCCTTGTTAGAAACGCTCGACACACAGATGAGCGAGCGGAGAAAACAACAGACCCAGGCGGCTGGCTTCGGCGCAAGCAGTGGGATTTATTTACAGTGTCAACAGTGCGAAAATATTTACAAGAATTGGGGAGTAGAGAAAAGACCGGGTGCCGATCAGCGGTGGCAGGAATAGCAGTCAATGGAGTGATGATGGGCCGGGTATTAGAGTAACAGGTCGATGCACAGACTAACCAAGCCGACCTGGGCTGGTCGGCTTGGAGATGAAGATGGCTGAGGAGGGAATAGCAGAGAGACAGATTACTGGAGACTGTGCATCGACCTGTGAAGGTGGTGGTTGGTGGAGCTGAGGGTAACCAGGGTCCAGAGAAGAGGTCCGATGCGGAGGGATACCAGATACGGCGGGGCAGGACAGGACAGGAACTCGGGTAAGCACAGAAGAGAACAGAGAATAAAAAGCATACTAGGCACAAAGGCAAACAAAAACGGTAACATACATGGGGGGCCTGAAGACAGAGACAAAACTAGCAGGGGAGTGATCCGTGAGCCGCGTATAAATAAGGAGGGAGACTAACGAGGCGCAGCTGGTGAGAATCAGTGAATCGAGGCAGGTGTGTCTAATCGTGCAATCAGTTCAAGGGAGCTGGCTAGTGCAAGGAAAAGAAGTGAGGCAGGTGCCACCGGGCAAACCTGACAGTCCTGTTTCAGACCAGCAGTTGTTACAATCCACGATTTTTCACCAAACCTAAAAGTCTTTTATTTATGACTTTTCTACTTTTTGTAGGTGTCAGCTAGTCTTAGTCTTTGTCCAAAGGTGAAAGCAACAGTTTTATGTTTTGGAAATCTGTTAATATGAGCTCTTTCGATCAGAGGATGTTATGGTCGCTCGAACACTGAGATGAGCGAGCGGGGAAAAAAAACGGACCCAGGTGGCTGGCTTTGGTGCAAGCAGTGATATTTATTTACAGTGAACAAAAGGTGCAATAATCAGAGAATGGATGTAGGTGGTGTTAACTGGGTGTCGATCTGTGGCAGAAGAAACACAGTCAGTGGAATGGTGGATGATGATGGGCTGGGCTGCAGACGCTGGGATCACTCCTGGGCTGGTCAAGGCAGAAGCGATGATGACTGAGGAGACAGCTAGACAGACAGAGAAAGGAGACTGTGCATCGACCTGTACGGTGGAGGCTGGTAGGGCTGAGTAGATCCAGAGCTCAGAGGAGAGGTCCGTAGATGAGGACCAAAACAAAACAACAGTGGGACAAAAAAAAGGTAACACGGAATGAACAAATAGACTTAATAACTATCAAAACATGGTACAAAGAAGATAACGACATAGGGGCCTAAAGACTAAGAGACTGAACTGGCAGGGGAGTGATCAGTGAGCAGGGTATAAGTAGGGACGAAACTGATAAGGTGCAGCTGGTGATAATCAAGGGAAGTGGGGCAGGTGTGTTAAATAGTGTAATCAGGAAAGCAAAATTAGAGTGAGGAAAAGGAAGAGAGGAAGGTGCAGCCGGGCAAACCTGACAGAGGATCAATACAAATCTTTCTAACGTCTTTGCAATCAATATAAAGACACACCTAACAGATGGAGAACTTGTGGCCTTAAAACACAGGATATGCTGTTTATAAAGATAACAGGGGCTTTGTGTTTTTCATCAGTTATAGGTAATAATTACATAATCACACATCAGCAGAGAGATGGACACAATTTGATTTACAGAACAGGACAAACATAAGTAAAAAAAGAATGTCAAACAAAGCGTTTATCAGAGCTCTGCATCTTCTCCTCTCCTCCGTTGTCTCTAACGATGGAGGTCATTGTACCAAGGTGTCCTCCTGCTGACACTGTGCTTATCTGCATTGTGCTGTCCTTAATCTCTCTGCTAAATCCATGACAGATACACACATCACAGATGTACTAACTGTTGTTGCTTGTTGTTGCTAACTGAGGTTGCTTGTTGAGTTATGCATTTTCACTGTATTCAAACTTTTGTTTTTAATTATAGACAAGATAAAATACCCTACACTTCAACTTAAAAATAATACAGTAACTATTGTCAAATCAAATCAAATCAAAGTGTTTATTGTCATATGCACAGTAAGGAAACGTGTTTCCCTGTACAATGAAATTCTTATTTTGTCCACATGAATGCCAAACAAGTGAAATAAAAAGTTGATAAATAAGTAACACTAAGGCACTCTAAATCAGCAAATGAAAGAGATATAATAAAAATATATAAGAATATAATAAGAGAGTGTATGCTGCCTGGGAGCAGCATGTGCAGCATTCAACAGTCAATGTGCAATAATGCATGTGCAAACTGAGAATGTAAACAGTACAGGTCATCAGTACATGACGTATTTCCTGGTAATAAACTCCGCAGCTGTTTAGGAGTCTGGTGGCAGTTGGGGAAAAAAAGGAGTTTTTCAGTATACAAGTCCTGCAATTCACAACTCTGTACCTCCGCCAGAGGGTAGAACAGTGAACAGTCTGTGCTGGGGGTGGGCGGGGTCTCTGAGAATGGAGGCAGCTTTCCTACACACCCTGCGGTGGTAAATGCTCTGCAGAGAGGGCAGTGGAGTCCTGGTG